GGACACAACATCTTTGTTTGTATGTGGTGCTGAGGATCGAACCTGGGCCGCATGCATGCCAGGCGAGCGCGCTACCGCTTGAGCCACATCCCCAGCCCCATGCTTGTCTCTTTAGTTAGATGCAAAAACTCCTGCATGTGCTTGTACCAGATCAACTAGAACAAAAACAAGACCCATTTAAATGGCTCCAGATTCAAAGACCTGCACAATGTGCCCACAACTGATTTAATGGCTAGACAGCTTAACCAAGAAGGTCTGAACCCCAGATAGCAAACGATTGACATGGATTTGATCCTCACAAAGGCTTACCCGGGAACCTGCACTTTTCTTCTCTTGTTAGAGGGCGGCCCATCCCAGGGTGTGTCCCTTTTCTTCTCTGAGACGTGAGGGGCACCCACACCCTGCTCTGCTTTGCAGTTTCTTTGCTAAGATGTCTTTGCTTGTGCTTTGTTTTTGAATTTGTCCTGAAATTCATTTTAAGAACCTCCCTGGGCTGAGTTGAGGTCCCACTGCCCCTAGGAGGGACCTTCATAAAACCCTGTCTGGTGACATAAGAAATAGAATTGCTATGCTGTATAGTAATTCTGTTTAATTTTCTTGAGGAAACACCAAAATAGGAATTTTTTAAGACTCCAGAAAATTTTTTTTTTCTCTTCTATGTCTTCTTCAATTACTGTGTGGCCCATATGTGTGATATTCTAAATATACACATGTTCTTTACTCTGTCCTCCTCTGCTGTTGGAGTTGTTTAGTTTGTCTCCCCAAGGAGAGCAGACACGTCCTCTCAATTATTCCTGTACTCCTTGTTTTCAGCACAGTATGTATCAAACAGTAGGAGCCAAATAGGTATTTGATTTAATGAAAGCATGTGTGGGTCATTTTTAGGAATAATTGAGATTTATGAAATTTTAAAAATTTCATAAATCGAAAGTTTTAGGATAATGTTTGTCTTTTCTATCCCTGTTTACTAGGAATTTGATAAGTATTTGCAACATCATGACTTATTAAATACGAGAAGAAAAGAGATGTTATATAAAAGATGGGTTGACCATGTGGCAGATCCTCTCCAGAAGAAAATTATAGACAAAGTTTGTTCACATAAGAAGATTAAAAAAAGGAGACAAGAGGAATTAGATAGTTTTCTGAACTACGTAAATAAAAAGGTACTAAGAAATCATTTAATGCTTTTTTCATTGAGTTTAAACATTATGATTGTCTTTGTTTGCTTACTATCTAGTCATGCAGTCTGCTCCCTCTCCTCCTATGTATGTGCAACACATACCTGTGACAGCAGAAAACATTCCTACCTCCAGGACATGGGAAAGAATGGAGGAGGAGGTTGAGGCCCGGATTTAACTGTGTACATGGAAACCATTTTGAAATTGTTTATTTTATTTGCCAATTTAAAAAATTTGGACTCTAGGTTTAGGATATATTTTTCAATTTGCTCTGAAACTTGATTAGTTGAAAAGTTATTAAATATTTCTGTTCTTTTTGCATTTTTAAAAGATTGCAGATGTTTGTTATAAACAAATTTCCAAATCCTTTGGTATTCCAACAGGCTTCATTAAAATCTTACAAATTTTAACTAGATTCCTTTCATCACTATTATATGTATTTACTACTGGAATAAATTAAATTTAATTTCCAATTTAGTCTTCTCTTTCTTATTGCATTTGTCATTGATGATGCCACTTTGAAGCACAAGAATGAAACTGTGTTTGACTCTAGTCCTGCCATGCTCAAAACCAATTGTGTACCTTTTATTCTTACATGTGGTTTTATTTCCATCTTATAGGGAAATGCATTTATACAACATTATGATCCAAAAGAATATGATCCTTTTTGTATGAGCAAAGAAGACCCCAATTTCATGAAAGTAGGTAAATTTCTCATTTTAGTGTTGATGGTATGTGTCTGGTTGTTTTGAGTGGCCCTACTATATAACTCGTCCTTTAATGATTCCTTAAAAATGCAGTAAGAGTTTAAGAATAGTTCTTCATCTCTATATCTTAAGAAAAATCCAAAAGGCCAAAGTAAATTAAAACTTTATAAAATTTGAAAATATTGTATAATAATTGGGTAATAGGTAATGCTTAAAAATTCCTTAGACTTTTAAATTTGATACACAAATAATCCATTTTCACGATAGATCAATGAGAATATTGATTTTTCAAATGCAGAAAATAAAAAACAGTCATAATTCCATTACCCAGAGTTAACTCATGAACATTTTTCTGTATATCCTTCTAGACTTTCTATATTTATGTGCACACACACACAAACACACACACACATATATGTATAAAATACAAAAATACTCTAAATAAAATACAAAATACTGTCTCTAAATAAAATACAAAAAAGGGCTGGGGATATGGCTCAGTGATTAAGTGCCCTTATGTTCAATTCCCAATATCAAGAAAAAAAAAAAAGAAACTTTTTTAAGTAAATGAGACTATGTCATACATTTGATCTTACAATATGCTGTCACTTACAGCAACAATTTATGGATTGCTTCTCTGTCAATAAATATAAACCCATAACTTTAATCATTGCACAATATTACGCTGAAGCCTTAACCAAGCCTTAGAACTTTTTTTCTCAATATCTCCCACTGTATAAGGTAATTCACAGATGACAAAAGCAAAGCACAGATAGGTTATGTGTCAAAGTCACTCCACAGCAAACAGCAGAGTGTAAATGTGTTTCTAATCATGTACTTACCATACAGCCTCCTTTTAGCAGATTCCCCATTTGAACATATAGATTGTTTTTGAGTATTGCTGTCATAAATGACTTATGATGCACATCTCTGTAGCCTGATATTTCTTGTTGTTTTCCCCACAGCCAAGTTGCTAGAAGTAGAATTGCTGAGTTCAAGGGTGTGCATGATTTTGATTCATACTGCTGGACAGTCCTCCAGATAGGCTGTGTAACCTATACTCCCAGCAGAGTCCGATTTTCCAGCATTTGGCTAATGGTGGATATTATTAAACAAAATAAAATTTTCCCCAAAACTCCTTTGGGCCCATAGACATTTTTCAGCCGCTGACATTTGTTCTGGAATTCTAGATCTTTTTTAAAAAAATTGTGTGTGTCTGTGCATGCATACCACAGTCCCTATTTTATAGGTGAAAATTAAACTGAGAATTTAAGAACTAGAGTTTTAGACACACTTATCAGGAACACAGATATTGAGATTTTAAACTATATCTTTTTCATACTATCTTAGTTTGTTCCTCCTTCTATCCCAAAATACTTTAGACTGGATATATTGTTTATTAACATCAAAAACTTTAGTGGGATGTGCAAGATCAAGGTGCTATTCTTGAACACCTTCTAAAGGGCCCTTCTCACTGGTGAATTTGTACATATTTGATTTGGAAGGGACACAAACATTCAGACTATAGCAAATACTAGAATCCCATTTTTCTATTATCTTAGCATGTGCCAAGTCCTATGCAGAATGTTGTTTCTCTCTTTAAAGTTTAAAAATTGATTTGTTATGCATAAATCACTAGGTGATATAAAAATACTTTAAAATGATAGTATTGCTCATATTGTCTCTTTTTATAGCAAGTTGATGTCTTCTCTTTATAAGTAGCACTCTTCATAACTTCTGTAAAAGCACCATTTTAAAGGGCAGTCTGAGCGCTGTGTATTTTAACTCTAAAAGTCATGTTTTGCATTCTATTTATCCCAGGATTATTACTAGAAAGATACATAGATGACCCAGTATAATTTCAGACTAGGGTCTAAGCCATGAATGTGACAGTTGCTGAATTCTGTTTTCTTATATAAAACTGTCATGTGATAACATTGGCCATTAAAATAGATCTAGTGCTTTACTATTGTGGTTAACAGATGATTTACATTTTTTTAATATTTATTTTTTAGTTGTAGTTGGACGTGATACCTTTATTTTATTTATTTATTTTTATGTGGTGTTGAAGATCGAACCCAGGGCCTTGCACATGCTAGGCGAGCATTCTACCGCTGGGCCACAATCCCAGCCCAGATGATTTACATTTTGAATAGCATTTTGGTAAAGTTTTGCATAATTTTTAATTATGTTGGTGATTATGGATGCTAGAATAAAGACAAATATGTGGATACATTTTTTCCTTTTGTGAACAGTAAAGGGATTTTAAAATTTAGGAATATATGATAATGTAAAAGAAGTTTTGAAGGGGCTGTGGATGTGGCTCAAGCAGTAGCGCGCTCGCCTGGCATGTGTGCAACCCGGGTTCGATCCTCAGCACTACATACAAACAAAGATGTTGTGTCTGCCGAGAACTAAAAAATAAATATTAAGAATTCTCTCTCTCTCTCTTTAAAAAAAAAAAAAAAGAAGTTTTGAAAACAGAACCCGCACTTTGAAACAAGAACTAATCTTGCCTTTTTGACTATAGGGCCTTGTTAAGAGAAGTACTACAGTACCCCATCTCTTTGTAATGGTTAAAAATATACAGAGGGTCTACATAATAGATATATGTTATAGAGATAGATAGATGATAGATAGTAAATAGATGATAGATAGCTAGATAGATCCTGCTATTAGTATGTGGACACTGTATTCTTGAATCTTCTGTATAAGAGCCATATGTGGATAACCTACAATAGATGAAAACGTTTACTCCTCAGACCTGCAATCCAGTCCTCAAATAAGCGCTTCTCTTGTAGGTTATCATCCCACCGTTTCGTGACCCTCTGAAAAAAGCACAATGTGACAAGGATGATGAAAGAAGAACTCTCCTTCAGTGTGAGACTGGTACTCAGCTTCAAGTTTTTACGTGGTTTCACAGTCCAAGAGCAATGACAGTTGCATTTAAGTGTGCTAATTTGGATTACTCGTCTTCCTGCAGGCAAACTATATACAATGAAAGAATTTAAAGAAATTGAGAAGATCCAGTCCAGATTCCCAATAATTTCTAATTCGAGGCACTTTATGACTCCAAATGAGTGGCTGAAACTGCCTACAAGATACATAGAAAGTGAATTTTGTAAAAGGAGCAGGTAATGGCTGATATACTAGAAATTACGAACATTCTAGGCTTTGAAAATTCTTTCTTTCTTTTTTGGTGGTACCAGGGATTGAACCCAAGGGCGCTTTACCACTGAGCACATCCCCAGCCATTTTTTTATATTTTATTTAGAGACTGGGTCCCACTAAGTTGCTTAGGACCTCACTAAATTGCTGAGGCTGGCTTTGAACTCATGATCCTCCTGCCTCAAGTCTCCTGAGCCACTGGGATTATAGGCATGTGCCACCACACTGAGCAAAATTTTTTTCTTGAGATAGTGATAAAATATTTTCAGTTATTATTGTTTTTTAAATAGATTTTTTTAGTTGTAGATGGACATAATATCTTTGTTCTTATTTATTTGTTTTTATGTGGTGTTGAGGATCGAACTCAGGGCCTCACACAAGGCAAGCACTCTACCACTGAGCTATAATCCTACCCCTCATAGTTATTATTTTTAAAAGTTTTCATTTTTAATGAAAAATCTATAATTCCTTGATTCTCTGTGATATTTACTTGGGTATGGTCAGGATTTTCTCTTTATCTTTGGTTTTCATTAACTAGGTTATGATGTTTTTAGATTTGTTTATTTGTTTCTGTCTTACCTAAGGGTCTCTGAAATTAGTTTTTATTTTTATTTTTTGGTATTGGGGATTGAATTCATGGCCTCATGCATGCTAGGTAAGCACTCTACCACTGAGCTACACCCCCAGCCCTCTCAGATTTTTGTATCTGTGGTTTTATGTCTATTTTGGGGAGATTCTAGAACATTCTTACCTCAGTTTTTTTTTTTTTTTATGCCCCAGTCTGCTATTTGGTTTTTTTTTTCTTCACTTCTGATAATCTAATTATGTCTGTTAGACCACTGCTGACAATGTCCACATTACTATAGCTCTTATTTTTTCTCTTTGCATTTATTTAGATGATTTCTACTGACATATCTTTAAGTTCACTGAGACTTTCCTCAGCTGTGTCTCATCTACTGCAGAGTCCATCAAAAGAGCGCTTCATTGCTGATATCATGATTTTTATTTCTAGCATTTTCATTTTATATTATTCCACAAAGTTTCCACTTTTCCTGAAATTCATCATTGGTTTAATACATGTTGTCTACCTTTTCCACTAGATTTTTTTTTTTTTTT